TAACCCTAACCCTAACCCTAACCCCAGTGCCTTGGGGACAGGGCCACAGGGTCAGGGCCAATGTGAGACCACCTTGTTAGGTGGGATGGTGTCTGGGAGCTGCCACTGCAGCCACCAACACTCACCCAGCAATCCAGCCACCTCGTACGCCTTCTTCTGCTCGATCGTCTCGTAGTTCAGGGCTTCGAAGAAGATATCCAGCACCAAGATGTTCTCCCTGTGCAGGACAGAAGTGGCATCAGGCTGAGATTTGGGCTGGAGGGACCAGATGTCACTCCACCACCACAGCCACAGCACGTTACCCGATGTACTGCTCCGACTTGTTGTACTTCTTGGCCAAGTACTTGGCCGAGGCCTTGCTGGGGATCTTGACCATGGAGAGCTCTTTTCCGTAGCGTGTCATGTTGCAGGGCATCTCACAGATGCAGTACTCGTTGTCCTTCTCCACCAGGAAATCTGGGAAAGGAGGGGGAGGGAAGGGATGAAGAGATGGAGAAACCCAACACCCACAGCTCCATCCCACGGGGCCTCACCTAGGGCTGGATCCGCACATTCCTTATACTGCTCCGGGGTGCAGTAAGGGGCATCGCCTGAGGAGACACAAAGCAGAGCTCCAGGTGGGATCACAGGGGTGAGCTGAGCCCAGGGGGGCCAGGCCTGGCACGTGGGGCTCACCTGGCATGTGCACCATGCGGCAGTTGCAGTTCTCGGCCAGGTACCGCGTCTCGCAGTCCAGGCGGCAGGCGGTCAGGCTGTAGTCAGTGAAGAAGTCAGACTCGATGGGGGTGGCCTTGCAGTCCCCAGGTGTCGTAGAACTCCGAGTCGCCTGCCACGGCCTTGCAGTCACCCCAGGGAGGTGGCAGGTAGATAAGCTAGGAAGGAGCAGAAGCCAGGAATGAGGAGAGAACTCCCCACAGCCTCCAGCATGGCAGAGGGGACAGACACACTCGTGGCACCAGTTCTCTGGGCTGAGTAGGGGGATGGATACAGGGGCACGGGGAGGAGGCTCCACAAGCCACAGTGAGGGTGGGAAGGAGCATCCCAGACCCACCCCTAGTCCCTACCCGCTGCTCCTGGCAGGACACGAAGGTCTGGAATCCAGGAGCCACCCCAAATCCCAGCTGGTCGATCAGCGGGGGCTCGTCCTGGCTGTGGATCTGCACCTTGATCCCGGCTTCGAACGAGGTCTCGTCTGCAGCAGAGAGAAGTGGGGTGAGCATGGTGCTGTCTCCAACCACCCAGCCTGCTGCAAGAGGGACCAAAACCTCTGCCCCCCACACCTCCCCTGAGCCAACTCCTTTGGCCATGTGTCCATCCATCTGTTTGCAGCACCATGTCCTTGCCCCCTCCACCCCTGACCCTCCTGCTCCTGGCTCAGGAGTGCAGCAGGGAAAGTGTTTGTCTCTATTTATAAACAAGTGGTGGTTGTGAGTCTAAAGGATGGGGAGTTGCCATGGCGAAGAGCAAAGACAAGGAGAAAAGGGAAAGAAAAGACTTGAAGCGATGAGAAATCAAAGGAGGGAAGAAGAGGGAGGCTCAGGGATGTGGAGCTGTGGGCTAGGGAGCTGGGAAGGGGCTGGGAAGCACCCCAGGAGCTGCTGGTGACCTGCTGGCAGAGCCCTGGGGGAGTGGGTTACCTGTTTCCCCCCACACTGGCAGGT